AGACAGTGTGCCCCACAGACCTAGACAGTGTGCTCCACCCCAAGACAGTGTGCTCCACCCCTAGACAGTGTACCCTCCCACTCTCCACCCCTAGACAGTGTGCTCCACCCCCAACAGTGCCTAGACAGTGTGCTCCACCTAGACAGTGTACAGACAGTGTGTTCTCCTAGACAGTGTGCTCACCAGACAGTGTGCTCCACAGACAGTGTGTTCTCCAGACAGTGTACACTCCCTAGACAGTGTGCTCCACCCACCCACCTAGACAGTGTACTCCACCCCTGTGTGCTCCACCCTAGACAGTGTGTTCTCCCCTCCTGACAGTGTCCACCCCTAGACAGTCTCACCCCCCACCCCCCCAGTGTGCTCCAGTGTGCTCCACCCCTAGACAGTGTGCTCCACCCCAGTGTGCTCCACCCCTAGTGTTTCCCCCAGTGTACTCCACCCCAGACAGTGTACTCCACCCCTGACAGTGTGCTCCACCCCAGTGTCTCCACCCCTAGACAGTGTGTCTACCCCAGACAGTGTGCTCCACCCCTAGACAGTGTGCTCCACCCCTAGACAGTGTCTCCACCCCCAGACAGTGCTCCACCCCTGACAGACCCCTAGACAGTGTGCTCCACCCCAGACAGTGTGCTCCACCCCCTGACAGTGTGCTCTACCCCTAGACAGTGTGCTCCACCCCTGTGCTCCAGACAGTGTGCTCCACAGTGTGCTCCAGACAGTGTGCTCACCCCTGCAGTGTGCTCCCCCCTAGACAGTGTGCTCCACCCCTAGACAGTGTGTTCTACCCCCAGACAGTGTCCACCCCAGACAGTGTGTTCACCCCCAGACAGTGTGCTCCACCCCCAGACAGTGTGCTCAGTGTGTTCACCCCTAGACAGTGTGCTCCACCCCTGACAGTGTGCTCACCGCCAGACAGTGTATTCTACCCCTAGACAGTGTGCTCAGCAGTGGCCAGCCACCCCTAGACAGTGTGCTCCACCCTAGACAGTGTGCTCCACCCAGTGTGCTCCACTCAGTGTGCTCCCTTGTGCTCCCCTGTGAGTGTGCCCACTCCTAGACAGTGTGCTCCTCCTAGACAGTGGGCTTCATCCCCACAGTGTGCTCCACCCAGTGTGCTCCACCCCTAGACAGTGTGCTCCACCCCCTCAGTGTGTTCTACCCTAGACAGTGTGCTCCACCCCTAGACAGTGTGTGTTCCACCCCAGACAGTGTGATCCACCCACACAGTGTGCTCCACTCCCCAGACAGTGTGCTCCACTCCTAGACAGTGGGCTTCATCCTGACAGTGTGCTCCACCCCAGACAGTGTGCTCCACCCCAGTGTGCTCACACAGTGTGCTCCAGACAGTGTGCTTCACCCCTAGACAGTGTGTTCTACCCCCTAGACAGTGTGCTCCACTCCTGACAGTTGGCTTCATCCTTGGACAGTGTGATCCACCCCTAGACAGTGTGATCCACTCCTAGACAGTGTGTTCTTCCCAGACAGTGTGTTCTACCCCCAGACAGTGTGCTTCACTCCTACACAGTGTGCTCCACTCCTAGACAGCGTGCTTCACTCCTAGACAGTGTGTTCCCCCAGACAGTGTGTTCTCCCAGACAGTGTGCTCCACTCCTAGACAGTGCTTCACTCCTAGACAGTATACTCCACCCCTAGACAGTGTATTCCCCCCAGACAGTGTGCTCCACTCCTAGACAGTGCTTCACTCCTTGACAGTGTGCTCCACCCTTAGACAGTGTACAATGATAAACAGTAGGTCGATTGGGCCCTTGATAGCCCAATAAAGCCATTACAAGCTTTATATCCACTGGGGTCCTCTGCTTAGGCTGGGGGCAGTAGTCAGTATCAATAAATCTGCAAAAATATAGACGAATTGATTTATGGTTAAATGTGACAACTTTATTGTACTAACGGAGACTGGTCACTTCCGCAATACATTCTTAGAGCAGTAATACAGAAAATCACTCTCCTCTTGCTTTACTTTGATCAGTTATATATTTTTTTTATAATTAATTTTGAACTGCATGATATTACAACTGGATTTAATAAGGTTAGATGAATTTTTCCAGTCCTTTACATGTGATTTTTTTCTTGTTTGAGCGCTTACAGTACACTGGATACTGTGGGGTACGTTATGTTTGGGTTCACACTCAGGATGGGATGGAGAAAGGAAACTCACAATGTGCTCTCTGTATACATGTTATATTGGATGTACAATGCAGCTTGGTGCTGGGAAGTGGCAGCGTGGTTACAAGCGTGATGCAGAGAGAGCTGGTTGGTGAGGGTGCTCAGAGGAGGACAAGCTTGTGGGTCGCCATGCTCGCCGGCGGGAGCGAGGACCGCCAGGCAGAAGCGGAGGAGGTGGTGTTGCTTGCTGCGGCTGTAGCTAGAAAGAGGAGGTCACCACGAGGTCAGGTCTTAAATAGCGGAGGTAGGCGTGGCTTAGTAGTTGACCTCCGTGATGTATGGCGGCGCTGGTTGACCCAGACCACGAGGCATACACTGGGGAATTCGCGGGGTCGGCTACTCAGCGACAAACAGCGTTTGTAGGGGAGAAATCCACTACAATACTCCCCCCTTCCCTCCAGGCGGTGTAGGAGACTTGTTGTCTGCAGGGTTCCATGGCACATGTGAGGCAGAACGGCGATGGCGTGGATGAGCCGGCCGCTAGAGGAGACAACTGTCTAGATACACAATATCTGTGGGAGTAGAGAGGGAGAAAAAGGGTGTGTGGAGGCGATGAATGTTGTGCTTCCCTCACGGCAGGTACAGAGTCGTCAGATGCGCCTGCTGGGGTGTGTGGGCCTGGGTCAGGAGCAGGGGCTGCGTCAGCAGAAGCGGATGAGGGTTCGTGACAGCAGCTGGGTCCACGACAGCAGCAGGGTGCAGGACAGTAGCAGGGGGTACCTGAGGGAGAAAAGAGGGGTGTGTGGGTCCGCACTCAGGCGCATGGGCCGCGTCGGGAGCAGGGGCTGCATCAGGAGGAGCGGCAGGGGGTATTGCTGGGCCGGGGGCGGCGTCTGAGGCAGGACGGGTGTGCTGGGGTCGGTAGGACGTGGTGCTTGGGGCAGGAAGAGGAGTTGGTGTCTGCTTAGAGAAGCAATGCTGCTCTAGGGTGTCTAACCTGCGGTGTAGAGACAGTAGTTGAAGAGCCGATGAAAGCTGCCTCTGTGTGGATAAGCCAGTCTTCCATGTTGCTTGAAGACTGGGAGCGTGATCGGTTTCTCCTCCATCCTGTGTGAGTGCGAATCTCCGGGGATCACCATTTGTGGGGTTCGGGTTGTTTGTTCGGACTCAGGATGGGATGGAGAAAGGAAACTCACAATGTGCTCTCTGTATACATGTTATATTGGATGTACAATGCAGCTTGGTGCTGGGAAGTGGCAGCGTGGTTACAAGCGTGATGTAGAGAGAGCTGGTTGGTGAGGATGCTCAGAGGAGGACAGCTTGTGGGTCGCCATGCTCGCAGGCGGGAGCGAGGGCCGCCAGGCAGCGGCAGAGGAGGTGGTGTTGTTGCTTGCTGCGGCTGTAGCTAGAAGAAGAGAGCGGTCACCACAAGGTCAGGTCTTAAATAGCGGGGGTAGGCGTGGATAAGTAGTTGACCTCCGTGATGTATGGCGGCGCTGGTTGACCCAGACCACGAGGCACACACTGGGGAATTCACGGGGTCGGCTACTCAGCGACAAACAGCGTTTGTAGGGGAGAAATCCACTACAATACCCCCCCCTTCCCTCCAGGCGGTGTAGGAGACTTGTTGTCTGCAGGGTTGCATGGCACATGTGAGGCAGAACGGGCGGTGCATGCCACATGTGAGACAACGGCGATGGCGTGGATGAGCCGGCCGCTTGTGGAGGCAACTGTCTAGACACACAAGATCTGTGGGAGAAAGAGGGTTGTGGAGGTGATGAATGTTGTGTTTTCCTCGCGACAGGTACAGAGTCCTCAGATGCGCCTGCTGAGGTGTGTGGGCCTGGGTCAGGAGCAGGGGCTGCGTGTCAGCAGAAGCGGAGGAGGTGGTGTTGCTTGCTGGGCTGTCGCTAGAAAGAGGAGGTCACCACGAGGTCAGGTCTTAAATAGCGGGGGTAGGCGTGGCTTAGTAGTTGACCTCCGTGATGTAGGCGGCGCTGGTTGACCCAGACCACGAGGCATACACTGGGGAATTCGCGGGGTTGACTACTCAGCGACAAACAGCGTTTGTAGGGGAGAAATCCACTACAATACTACACAATTATGTTCACTACTACCGCCAATTACCTTCCCGGTTCATATCTTCATTCCTTATAAAGCTTGATGTGAGGACTAGCTTATAAGTGGTGCTGTACACTCAAATTACCGCACATGAGGTTTGCAGTTCTATTTTAATTATATTTTTTTGCTTGAAATGGTATAATAAAAAAATGCGAAAACTCTTCTATACCGCAATGTAGATTTTTTTTTCAAATATTTGTTTGCTGTGGACTAATGTTCCCATACTCCCCTACAAAACCCTTGGGCTTAGAGTGGTTTCCAGTCCATTTTTTTGGGTGTAGACTACAAAAAAAATTTAATCACAAATTCACAAATCTAGCCCTTAGTAACACTTGATTATCTGAAGGGTCTTCCCTCATTGATTGTTCTATATATAGTTACAGGATCAATGTCACAATATGTCAGTGATCACGCTGTGTACACGAGGCCACATATTGGTTTAGGCTTTTATAACATGTGCATTTGTTGCGACAATTATGCACACAATTGCCATACAAGGCGGTCTGCTGACTCCGGTATTCACTTCACTTGTTCTCGTCGCCGCTACTCCCCGGCATTCATTCTAGAAACACCTTTCCAATATTGAATAATTAAGACTTACAGCAAAATAACACACATATTTCAGGATTCCAAATTTTTCCCTAATTGTATTGAAATTAAAGGATAATTAAATCACGGGAATTTTCGGCATCTTGGCAATGTTTACATCAAATTTGGTACATGTTGGCCCTTGATGCCTCAGTTGTCGGGCTGTGACAGATAGTGGTGGATGTGTCCTGGCGCTCCTCGCCTTTACAAACCTCCCACAATGAGTATAGATGTCGAGAAAAACCGGAATTCAATATTAAAGGCCTTTAACGATGTAGTGAGTGACAAGACGGCCACAGATTGGTGAGTAATTACCATTAAGCGGAGTGTACCGTGTTATGGCCGGGGTCAGTGGTAAGAGTCTATATTAGATGTTGATATCTAAGGCCTGCGCACAGAAAATTACATGTAGAATTAGACATTTAGTCGTTTAAATGATAGTTTTAGAGGAGTAAGAACACGGAACAAGTCTTGTACCGCATGGTATCGAGTGTTGTGTCCTGGTGCTGCTTTGCTTGGTCAGGTGTTTTGTGCATGAACCCTGTTGGGCACGACCGGGAGAAAGTGGGAAGCATACCCATGTTATTGTTACACCAGATATGTTTACAGAGTGTGTAAGTTAAAGATATAAATAAATATATTCGAATGAGTTTACCTCCTGTTTTAGTCCTCTCCTGTCACTGAACATTGTGTTGTACCACTGGCCCCTGTTATTCCCCCCTTTAGTGAGGTTTATTTACCGCACGCAAAAGTGGGGGTGGGTTAAAGATGATATTAACATTGAATTATTATGAAGAACGTATGGAGATAGTTTATTTTGTCAAATTACTTGGTAGGTGTCGAGTCACTAGATCAACAGCAACATACATGGTGTCATCAATAGGTTACTTTTCAGTTGATCAATAACTGAAGGATACCCTCACAGTACAGTACAGTACATGTTGGTGCTCAGGTTTTGCTTTGTTTGTGTTTTGAGGAATGTATTAGGGTTAGTGAATTTATCATGAGCATTTGTAAGGTATGGGTGTATGTGGTTAGTTTATTTTGTTTGGTTTTGTCATTGGATTAAACCACTGAACACTACTAAAATCAGTAATATTATAGTTCAGGTGTGGAAAACAATGCTTATTGATTTGTTCCTGCTAAAATCAGAGTTCACTGATGGTTTGTTTTGATGTGCCAGACCTGCTTAACGGGGAGAAATTTTGGTAATCCTGGAGCAGATCGCCAACACCAGAATGCTTTGCTTGATTTCAATCACTTTTTTCTGCAGGTGTTCTTTGAACGATAATAAGTACTAAAATGATGGGGGTTGGACCGAGTAATTGGTAGGTAATTGGCCAATTTGCCGATTAATCAGTAATTGGTCTTTTGACCGATTAATCGGGGCCGATTAGTAATTTCATATTTACCATTATAAGGTATTTAATGTCAGTATGGTGATCTATCCAAAACTCTGATGCCTTGCCAAAGCTTTTATTTCTAGCAAGTTCTTGTATAAATGTATATTAGTTACATTATTTATATTAGTTTCATGTTCTCCTTCTATTTATTTTTACTTCATTTCCCATATTATGGAACATATTAAAAATATACAGACAGAAAACAATGAAAATAAGGAGAAGAAATTCTTTCATCTTGTTTTATTTTTTCATAAAAAAAAAAAATTATTTTTCACTTTCAAGCCCTTTACTGATGTTGTATGTCTGGTTTACCTGACTTGGCCCAAAAATAATTTATTCCATGGATATCAAACGAAGAATCAATCATGATTAATCAAGCACAAGTAATGTAAAATTCGACTTTAAATTTATTTTATAGTATGTATTCAACATAAATATTGCTGCAGCTCTAAATTTAGAAAATGAAACAAAATTGCCTTTTATCGCAATCAAGAAGTGTGAAATATTTCAACCAACACGTGCGTATTTTTAATTAGAATTAAAAATAAAAAGTTATATTTACAAACTATAATTATATTTAGACACTGAGGTCCCAAACAGACTGTTACTGAGAAGTTCAGATAGGGTCTGAGAGGTCAGGTGCAGTTTATTCACACTACCATTTCTATTAGCAGCTATAATGACCACAGAGAACAAGAGAAATGGGAATGTTTAACAAATTACAACCAGGATGTACAGAACGAGATGTTACAAGTTACAACTACGCAAAACTAGACTTTATACGGGTGGGAAATCACTAAAACCTACTCCCTATAAAGGATATGGCAGGTGGGTAGCAAAACTATGTCGAAAATAACATTAGGGTGATGTCTTTAACTGTGGTACCAATAATTTAATGAAATTTAATCGTATATAAAATTCTTAATTATTGGCCGATTGTTTACAGCCGATTAATCGGTAATAGGCCAAATTACTTATTGGCCCAACCTTAAAAATTATATGACAATGCACAGAACCTAATAGAACCTGACCTAGCCAATCAAAGAAACCTACCTAACTTCCTGTATTGAACAGAATGTACTTATTGTATGTACTTTGATATCTTGTACCGTTGAAAGCAACTTTCTTGAAGCGGCCTGGTGTAATTTTACTTTTTTTTTGTGGACGTGACGGTATGCTCAAACTGAGAGGATTGGTTGTTGCTCAGAAACACATGCCTACGCAGCTGGTTTTCAGCAGAATATTTACTGTAAATAATTAATTTCTTCATATAAAAAGCACGTAGACACATCATTTTAATGTCATGTGATCACCTTTTCACCAGTTCCCTTCTCACAATTTTCCTCATCCTTCATATCCTACCCACTACAGGTTATTTATGGTCTTTGATAGAAGAAATAATGATTAAATACCTGGAACTTATAATTAAAACACAGTTGAAAGTTGTCATGTCGTTTTTAGTACTTACTATCATCCAAAGAATATCTGTGGGAAAATGGACGAAATCGAACAACTCCTGGAGTTAGCCGTCTGCTCAGTATTACCAATTTTTTTATTTGTTAGAATGACTTTGTGAACTAGTTTGCTTTTCTTTGGGAATATAACTGAACTGTTTATTTTCATCAGAGAATGTAAATTGTAATTGCTGACATCCCATCAGAAATAATGTAATAATCGTGCTTGGATGCAAATTGGGTGGGGAAGCAGATTGTAGAGAAAGTCTGCTCATGTAAATATATATATATATATATATATATATATATATATATATATATATATATATATATATATATATATATATATATATATATATATATATATATATATATATATATATATATATATATATATATATATATATATATATATATATATATATATAATATTTTTAAAAGTTAGGATTGCTTTAATCCTGTTCATAATGTAAGTAAATGTTTAGTTTTGGACATCTAGGGAATCATAGGAATTTAACTGTTTGATGAACTACTGATTTCCAATAGTTAAACAGTTTCTTAGTAGCTGTGTACCTTGGCTGTGAAAAGTAACATTGTACAGTATACAATACAGTAATACAGCTATATAAGCGCACATTTATAGCGACCTTTTATAATAAATATTTAAAACTTTCTAACTTCCTAACTGAATTGCTAATGCCTTGAAATGATTTGTATTTTGATAATCCATATATTTAACATTATTTTAGATAATATCAGGTGTGCTTACCAATTGTGAACACATTTGGTGTGAATTATCTATGAACCAATCCGCTATTAGTATAGAAGAGGGGCAGGGCCTACAGGCCGGGTTAGTGTGGAACGGGTATGGTATCATCGACTAATTCTAAACCTCACTGAGGTCACTCATGTTTTAATTTTTTTTTTACCCAATAGTTTTCTGGTTCCCTGTCTGATAATACTACAGTTTGTTTATTGAATAGACTACCTTACCGGTCACAACAAAACAGCCTGACAGGTCAGGCTGTTTTGGGTTATTTTGTCGGTTCATTGTTCATTTACCTTATTGGCCACCAATTAGAGGTGGCCATGCCAAGGGAAGGAGGCCAGTGGCCTGTGTACAGTAGGATCCCTCCTTTGTTCTTGATAATTTTGTCAAGGGCTGTTTTGAAGCCCAGTACTGTTCGTGATACCACAGCTTGGGCTGGTAGAACGTTTTATAGGTCTACCTCTGTGTGAAAAAGCATTTCCTTATATTCATTCTGCTTGACATCTTGGCAAGCTTGTACTGTAGTTATACCCTCTTTTGTTGGTGGTACGTGACATCACAAAGAAATGTCCCGGGTTAACATTTTCCATCCCTTTCAGGATTTCTGAAGGGTTGTTAATGCTAAGGCCCTCAGTCAACTTGGATAATTCAGATGACATAGTTCTTAGTCGCTGTATGTTTCACCTTTTCTAGGGGTGGAAGATCATTCTGGGGGTAGAATTTCCATGCCTGTATACAGGTATCCAGACTGGGACGTCCTTGAGATTTGTACAGTTGAAGGAACATTTTCTTATCCTTATATTCAAATTTATCCTTTATAATTCCCAAATCTCAATTTAATGAAAGTCTCTCAGAAGTCTCAGAAAGGAGGTGGTGTGGGGGGGAAAGTAAAAAGTGTGGGGCTATTAATTTGAAAAAAGTTTGGAAATAGAAAAAAAATTAAAACAAACCCCGAACCCCTTTGTTTAAGGTCCGACATGGATAATGTTTCTATGTACATATCATGTGTCTGAGGTGTCTCCTTAGGTGTGAGCGTATTAACGGAATTAATCTCAATTTAGCGAACTAGTTTGCTAAATTAAGGCACCAAGTTAGGAGCAATTAATATTTATGCATGATGAAGGGATAGAGTTTCAAGAAAAGTATTTAATTCAGAAGTGAAGAAATGTTTGAAGGTATGGAGAATGCCAGCAACACATGAGGAGTGGAACATCAGCCAAGATGGGTTATACACCTTGCTGGCTGGTGTACATGATATTTTGCTTATTTTTTTTTTTTACATTTTGCTGCTTGAACCATTCATATACCATTCATGGACTGTCTCTGGTCCAGTTTTCACATAATTTCCACTTTTTTAACACAGCCCTTTACATTTCCCTTTTGCACAGTTAAACTCAATTATATTACTTTTGTGTTTGTTTGAGAGCACTGTGAAAGTAAAATAAAGTCAATATTAAACAAAGAATATAATTATAATACAGTATATCTACACCCATTAGGAACTAAGACTCCTTGTTGCATTGGTCATAGCTCAAGCGTATATGACCACAGCGTTTGTGCCTTGTAAATAAATGATGATGCAATAGCTCATTATCAGTCAAGCATGGGATTTTTTCCACAGAAGATGTATCTCCAATTATAGGAAAATGTACATTGATATATGAATGATCGATTTACGAGGTTTTTTTAAAAAAACTGCATAACCCCTCATAAATTTTGGTCGACCTGTAATTACTGAACTGTTACATTAAGCATAACATTAAATGTTGATTTTGTGATTATTTTTCCAAATATGATTGTTAGTCGTCACATTAATCCTTTCTCTGGCTGATGCCAAGGGTTGTGTCACTAAGAACCTTTGTTTCCAGACCACCACCTGTGCACAGCCAACAAATTTTTAGAAAGAACTTGATATTGTTGATCTTGCAGATTAATTAAACTAAATAAAGTCCAATCCTAATTTTGTATAATGTAGCCAGTTGTGTCAGCCAGCAAGTGGATTCAGTTTGTATGATGCAACTTGTGTCAGCCAGCAAGTGGATTCAGTTTGTATGATGCAATTTGTGTCAGCCAGCAAGTGGATTCAGTTTGTATGATGCAACTTGTGTCAGCCAGCAAGAGATTGAGATTTGTCTAGCTGTCGGTAATGTGTTAGGGTTAACTCAGTCACTCTACTCAGCTTGATCTGATGAACTTAAGAGACCTTGCACCTCATCCATTAGTTCTGTCCTTGGCTGTATGGCTGTGACAGCTGTGGTCAAGGAAAGTAAAACAGCAGAGAGAGTTTCTCTGAACAGTGACGTAGTTTCTCTGGTCTTACTTTCTCTCATTGTGGCTGTCATGATAAAGAATCATCCCTCCATTGAACTGACAATTCTGCTACCAGGAGGTTTCTCTAGTTATTTGTGGTTTATGACTCAATTACAGTATGTACTGTACTGTACAATGATTTAATTAGATGTTTGGTAATAATTTTGTAGTACGGTACTGTATATATTCATACATAAAGTTTTAAGAATTCCTTAGGTTTTATGTCTAGGCAAAATGTTCTTCATTGTTTTTGAGAGGTCACTGAATGTTTGACTCAAAGTAATTCTCAGATATAAAAAAATTACAGTAAAAATGTTAACTATTACTAGATACAGTGGGGTATGCTATAACGAACGGATTCTACTACGAATATTCCTATAATGAACGGTTTTACCTATAAAATTGAGAATGCTATAACGAACGAAACTCCTACAACGAACAGTATTTTTTTTTTTTTTTTTCTTACTAATTTATTGCTTTTTTATTAAAAGTATTAATGATATTCTTTATTTCAGGAGGTTAGATGCATATTTATGCACTTTTTTACAATTTTTACAATTTTATACTGTATTATATTTTTCAGTGTTAAGTGGTTGTATTTGGGGGCCTGGAACGGATTAATCCTATAACAAACGAATGCTATAACGAACAAGGTTCTAGAACCAATTAGATTCGTTATAGCATACCCCACTGTAGTTTGTTTAAATTTTAGCTTCGTAAATACTTTGTTGACCTTAGATTTAATATGAGACTGTCAGGAAGAACTACTTTTCATATTTTTTAATAATTGTCTAGTATGTGAGATACAAAAATACAGTATACATATAAAGAACAAAATGATTGTGAAAAATTTCAATCAATATTGTGTTAACTTAGAGAACTTGGTTTCATCATGCATTGAGTAATTCAACCTACGTCATTTGGGTAAAAAAAATATATATACTGTATATCAAATACTGTATTCATGGAGTTTGGATAAATTTATGGCCCTTAACACTTTAGTAGTACTGTACTGTGGTGTATTCTGATCCTGAATTTAAAATTATGCTTGGTATCAGCATTTGCCTGCTAAGTGGATGTTAAGCTCCTTTGACCTCTCTTTATTTTTAAGTTTTATACTTACTGTATTTTACATGACTCTTGTTGTCAGTCATCTCTCTTTCTTTTCAGGGCTCTATTTGGTTATGAAGGCCAAACTAATACTTTGAAGGTGATTGGAACTGGAGGTAAGAAAGGTTATCACAACTTTAAATTTTCTGTATAACGAAGTAATGTATAGATCATAAATCTTTAATAACGAATTCTATCCGTTTCCAGTTAACATTTTAAGGTTTTGACTGAATTTTTTTTAGTCTCCAGTACTGTAATTGTCTGATATAACTGTGCAGCTTTGCTCTGATAGTTTTCCTGCATTTTTCCTTGGGGTCCCCTGTGCCTTAATTTTTTTTTTTCCTCTAGCAGCAGCAGCTTTATATATAACTTTCTCTTATACTTGCTCAGGTTCGTTATTTGAAAGAGAAGTGGTCACTGATTTGTACAAGTATGCTGTAGTACCTGATGAGAGAGAGAGAGAGAATTTAATTTCTTCACCAAACAAAGGAGGGTCTGAGAAAATTGTAGCTAATGTATTTCTTCCCACTATCTTGATTTCTGACCTTGTATCTTTAATATTGCTCATGTACAGTATTACAATTTTGCCATTACAGTACATTACATTCTGTACATCTAATTTTGGCCCCCTACATCCAGATTTTTTATTCTCGATAACCTGATTTTTTGGTCCTCAACAGTTAAGTTTTCTGCACAACCTTATACAGTTGACAAATATTTACAGTTGTAACATACCCAGAGAAGAAGGTCTCAATTTAATAAACACTGTAAAATCTTGGAGCAGTTGTTAGACTGTTGGTTATACTAAGGTACAAGAGAGCATGGTAGTAATGCTTTCTCAGTTAAAGATGAAAACAATGCATAAATTCTCAGAAAAGAATGCAGGATATGGAAGATTTGGGATGCCACCATGTTTTTAATCATTAGTGTAAGAGGATTTTGTTTTAAAAGAATTTTTGTTTGTATAGTTTTTGTATACAAAACAGTAAATAGGTAAATGTGATTAGCATGGTTAACCTACAAGTATCAGAATGTCGTATTGCTTGCAAGATGCTTTCCCTTATAGACTACACACAGGGAAGATGAAAAGTTGGTAGACAAAGGCCCATGAATGCTAATGCTGGCAGTCCCTGAGTTACAAATGCTCTACTTATGAACAGGCTCCCAATACTGTACTGTACTGTATATTCGTCAAAAAAAATTCCAATTTCTACATTATTGCACTTTCATTATTCTATATTATATGGGATATTATTTTTTTGTATGGCAGAGTTGTAACTAACATATCCCATTTTTTACATGACTTTATTTTGTTAAATTTACAGTGCTGTACTGTATTTACATTTGTTGTTATGTATGGGTTTGGATACTATTGATACTATTGTTGTTTTGTTTTGGCAGAGTTGTGCTTTAACCTAACCTAAACTGTGGAATTAACACTGTTCTGACTTACAAACAGATTGATTAATGAATAGGATCCAGGGACATAATCTGTTCCTAACTTGGGGACTGCCTGTATATTGTTTTATTGCCAGTACCTGTAATTAGCATTCCACCCCCATTGAATACTGTAGATAGCACAATTGGATGTCTGGAACATTGGGTAGATTTGTAGTCAATTTTGTTTTTGTGTCAGTCCTGTACATAAAAAAGGAGCTATCTTATATATTTTACTTCAGTAACCTGTAATTATTTTCATTCATGTTTTCTTGTGGTATTACAGAGGATGGGCTAGAAGAGTTGGCAGATGACCTGAATAGTAGTAAGATTATGTATGCTGTCGTCAAAGTCATTGACCCCAACACCACAAGACCCAAAAATGTCCTCATTAACTGGGTATGTATACGGTATAGACTGTATGTGTGTATTGCAGTTGTGGGAATGTAGTTTGAATGATAATGGTTGACAATGGAGAGCATTAAAGATAAAAGTTCTTAAGCTCGGTTTGTTCATGATAAATGAATTCTCAGTGACCCTCAGGTGCTCATGGATACACCAAGTTATCATTATAACAGTGAATTACAAATGCTCATAATCCCAAGGTACCCACAGGTGCTCTAAATGATACCTATTGACTGACAGGTGCTCACTCGGATGCTAAGTGTTTGACAGCAAATGTCCAAAACATAATTATAAGGACCTTTAAGTGTGTATTATGACTTACATGTGTTCATAATGATTATAGTGAATCATAGATACTCATAATAATTACAATAAATCACAGATGCTCATATTGGCCACAGGTGACTAAACATCATTCATAATCATCCAGCATTTTCTTAGTGATTCACAGCTGCTCATATTGATGCCAGATTACTTATATGCTTATTATGATGCTATATTTGCTGTGTAGGAGTGCTATAGATATTGTAATGTACTTTACTTATAGACAGTACTGTACTGTATGTCATTTTCTGAAGGTATTACCATATGCGAGAGAATTGCCATATTGTACTTCCAGTGCCTGTGTTTTCAACTACTGTACAGGTATCCCCTGATTTACGATCTTCTATCTATGATATTTCACTTGAAGGATGGAGATGTATTAGGACCACTCCCCTATTTACGGTAAAAAACATTAGCAACGATGGTCATCGTCTGGTCAAAATCGCTGATGCGCAAAATATGGAGCTGCATCTCTTGTTGCTTTTGTCAGCTGCAGTCTACCCGCATGCTGTTACGTGGCTACCCAGTGCACTACAGTACCAAGCTTTGTTCCATGGTGATTGCACATGATTGCTAAGCCCAACAATTACTGTATTGGGCTGTATCGGTGTTGTTACTTATTCTTTTTTTTTTAAACCTAATAGTGAGAGGACATGACTAACATTCACATTGTACTGTACTGTTTTGGTGATTGTGAAATGATTTTTGCTATGTTTTTTGTGACTGTAAAGTGCTTTGCCTATATTGTTGTGAACATGATGTGAGCAGTGTCGGGCCGCTATCATGGTTTTTACATTATCATCGTTCACTCTGTTTTTGTGACAAGTGGTTTCACTCTGTTTTTGTGGCTGGGAAGTGAGCAGTGTAACTTTGAAAATGTCTGGGAAGGCCAAGGCACCCAAGAAAACCATATCTCGAGGTAAAGCCTGACATTGTGAAGCTGTGTGGGAGTCAGTGACATCTCCACTTCATCCTCAAGAGACCCCTTAGCCTAAGAGGGGACATGTGATGATGACCAGACTTGTTCTTAATGATGTGGCGAGTTTTGTTTAATTGTATTTTATATATAATATTGTAGGAATTGTATTTTTGGTATTACATGTGGGTGTTGGACTGACTGGGAATGTTTCCCAATGATCCCGATTTATGTTTTTCAGGAACGGAACCCCATCATGAATAGGCTTCTGTTAATTTGAGATTTTTATATGTTGTATATTTCTAAAGGAGAAATTCATCTTGGAAGGTTTAATATAGAGTACTGTACACTGTACTGTAATTTGTAAGATCCTCCTGTCTCTATTACAAAATTGATAAAACATGAAATAATTTATGGTCAAAGTTGTGAATGGCAAAATATTATTGCCAATCATAACATTTTAAGTGGATTCATACAAATTCATTGTGCTTTTGTTGTCTGTACAATTGATTATACTTGGTGTTTTGTGTGACGAGACTAATATTAAAGAGGATACATTATTGTACTGTATGTGAGCAGACATGTCATGGGGAAAGTAGTTAATGCTGGAATTGAAAAGATTTGTTGATGTAGAAAAAGGAGCTCTGTGTTATGTGAGGATTTTACTTTTGAAATTGAGAGAAGCATTAATGTTTTCTCAGAATACACATAACAGTAGTTTCATTAGTGGGGTACCTAATATGAACAGAGATGAACTGATAAAATATATTTTAGAATATTTGTTCATAGAAATAAATTTTAGTGAATCATGAAATTGCAATGTTGTAGTGTACAGCTAGTGCCCCCGCCCTTAAGAAAAAAAGTACAATGTTGCTGCTTTTAAGTTTAAGCCATAAAACAACAATCTAAACAGATAAGAAGACCATAGAATGTGTGGAGGGTAGCAGTTACTGTGGAAGCCTAGTGACACCTTTGTGTTATGGAAAACTTTGACCAAATGCGTTATCAACAAAGCACCAGGTAGTTTAATGCGACTTGTTGATTGATGGAAGTAATGTTTTGAGAAAGGTCCAGGAAGGCAAGGAGTGTTTTAATTTGCTTTATTTAACTTAATTTATGGTTGTTTAAAGAGTCAAATAAAAAGGTTAGAGACCAATATTTTTTTGAGGACACTAATGTACACTGTAATGTTTTCCATATCTTGGGTAAGTGTTTGGTATTTTTTTTTTTTTTTTTACTCTTATTATCCTTGATGTGGTTGGTGTCTTGACTTGAAATTTTGAGGGTCAATTAACTGGTGCTACTATAGCATGCAGTCTACAATGATATATTTAGTTTAACTTAACCTGACCTAATTTAACCTAAGCTGACTTATGTAAATATTTTGTAGACCGCACACTATAGTAACACCAATTGAACTTTGATAGTTTAAATTTTTAACTCGGCAACTTCTTTTACCTGTTACTTGTAGTACACTGTAATCTTGTATATGTGTCTTTTCTTTACACTTGATATGAAGCATGTTGTACATTTTGATCTACAAATTCCTTGTTGCAGAAAGTTTCACTCAAAATGTATGTACAGTTTTCTAAAATATATAGTGTGCTGTACTTGTACACTCGGTAAAAAAAAGTACAGTATCTTTACAATTTTTTGTGCGAAACAAAATTACACCACGAATGAAGGTTTTTGATAAAGGCTCATGAGGAATACTTTTATTCACCAATCATATTACAAAAAACTAATTCTATATTTTGAATGATATAACTAAATTAGGCCTACCATAATAGGTAGGAAATGTCTCACAATCATGCCTGCGAACCCTAGCGAGTCAACAAGATGGTTCAGTTCCAAATTCATCGAACCCCTCCTGAAAGGTACCGTACTTTTTTTTACCGAGTATGAACATACAGTACAGTATTTGTTTTCTCCTTAACCCTTAAAATGCAGCCATCATTGGTGAAAGTTAGCAATCATCATCTGTGGAAGTTTCGTGTTCCAAATGTTCCATTTTTTCCAGATATGGGGATCCTTAGCTGCTGGTGAAGGGTTAATGTCTTTGTACGGGTTCTCTCTTTGTGTGCAAAGAGATATACGAGTTTTACTAATTATTTTGTGTACTTTAAAAAATGATGCATATAACATGATATCTTCTGTGAAACAGGTGCTGTTATATTGTACAGGACTTGTAAACCTTTCTAGAGCTATAGCTTGTGAATCTCTTGACCAGTGCACATACAGTATTGGTTATATTTTTCCTGGTCTTTTTTAGAACACAAAATATTACATATCTGTATACTTTTTTTTTAGACTTAAGACACAGATCATCTTGTGGATGTGGTCAAGTTTAATTTTCAGGTTGATCCCTCAAGTTGACAACACTGGAAATACAGTATTTTTTTCATGGCCTTCTATATTCTTAATTATGACTTTTAAAAGGAAATATTTGGTAAAAGTATTAGTGTATCTCAATATTGTCCATAAAACATGACACATAATTTCAAGTACAGTATGAACAATATTTCAATACCCATACAGTTAATTTCCAATTAGAAAAATTCTGTATCGCACATATTTAGTGCAGGATCATAAATAAAATAAATTTAAAGGACTTTCTGGGGGGCGTTAATCTGAACTTTTGAAGGATAAGATATATTTTGTCATTTTCTTGCAGCAAGGTGAAGGAGCCCCAACTGTACGTAAAGGTACCTGTGCTCGACATCTTCATGACATTCACAAACTTCTCAGAGGTGTGCATGTTACTGTTAATGCTCGGACAGAGGAGGAAGTTGAACCAGAAGTTGTTATGGCTGCAGTTCTTAAGTTATCGGCTACAACTTATAACTTCAACGAGAGATCAGAGATGAATGACAAGACTACTCCGGTGGTATGTCTTTCCCTAGAGATATTGAAGTTACCTTTGTTTTTAGTCTAGAACTTAGTACAGTTGATGAAAGATTTACTGCTGTGAATAGACTTTTGGGTATTCCGTATTTGATATACACAGAGGACAAGATTTCAGTCTTGTAGTAGGTCTCACAGTGCATGTATGAGAATTGCATGGACCTTTTTGTTTCAGTGAACATTAGTATCTGTCATGCAGAGAGTGCACTGAACTGGTTAAATGCAATCACAGAGATGATCCTAGATTCTGAAGGGAATAATAGTTATATTTTTTTTTTATGAAATTTATTGCCCCCCCTCCCCCCTTTTTTTATGATGGCCATTGAAAATTTAAACTTGGGGAAAATAGAATTTTAGGGATTAGTTATGTACAGCTATAATCAAAATGGGTTGTTATGCTGTTATGAGTAATATTACTGTAACATTACAATATTATCAGGAAATTTATACATTACTTATGAAATGATCAAAGATAATATAAAAGATAAGTACACTAGGTCTTCAGTTATCATTTACAGGTACAGAGTATTTATTTATGTTGTAAAAAAGTCAGGGTCTCAGATGTTCAGGTAGATGGTTGACCCTTATTGCCAGCTGGCTGTCAAGAATTGTGCAGTTGCACAGGTGTGTGTGTATGTGGGCATTAGTGCAGATTTAATAGCATGGCTGTAGACCAATTTATTATATTTTTGCTACCAAGCTTATTTTATATCCTTGGACATGGGTAGCCCTAACAGTATCATGAAGATATTGGTGAATAGACTGCCATCTTTTATATACTATTATGTTTTTGTTGAGTGAATAGCACAGATGAAGTTAATAGTTAACAGGAAAAACATTATCTCCATTAAAAAGGCAGTGATACTTCTGCAATTAAGAATGAATATATAGCTAGTAGTGATGTAGTGTAGATATTGCTTTGCTACTTTTATTTCAGGTCAATGTCAGTAAACTGTTCTCTTTCAGAAAGGCTTAGTAGACACTTTCAAGAAGGGTGAAGCAACAGGGGCTGTGGTAAACAGTGTGTCATTTGTGCAAATAATTTCTGCATTCTGGCATTCTGAAACAACTTTCAAAATTTTTAATAGAATGGAATCATGTACAGTATTACATCACTTTTTATTGATGATCCATTATGTAGCTGCTCTGAATGTGATATACATTATTATTATTTTTAAGGCTTCCCATTAAAGATTGCATGAAGGCCTAAATTACATTAGGATCTCTCACTTTATTGGGTAATTTTATTTTATTTATGTAAATCTTGAGGGTTGTTTCAGATGTGACACTAATTATTTTGATTTATTAAACCAATTTCCTTTAAAATGTTCTCCAACTTCTTACTTTATTTTATTACAGTCCGAAGGGTCACATGATCTCCGTATTCTTCTTGGTTGATTTTCCATGTCAGGAAGTTTTGTTTTTTAAGGATTTTAATATTCATAGTTAAGATCAGACCATTATGGCCTATGCGATCATTCTTTTTTTATAGATAATTCATTCAGAATGTTGATAGTGAGATTTTTGTTTTTATAATACAGTACAGTACAGTATACAGTAGTACAGTATTTTTTAAACCAATTTTATCACTCGTGTGCCGATCTACTCACAGTCATTGAAATATAGAGTCGTTCGTTAACTGAATATTTCATGAACCGAATCTGTTATTTCAATGGGATATTAGGTAATTGGTTCCAACTCACAGAAAAAGTATACAGTCAACCCTCACTTTACGCGGTCCCACATTCCACGTTTACACGGTGCACCTGCCAGAACCCAGGATGCTCACATTCCGCGGTGGGTGTACCCCTTTACACGGGTGAAGCATAATTTTTTTATTTAGCTCATAAAATTCATACAAATTATCCGGCCAGAATATAATTTACATTGCTGGAATTCTTACAATTTGATGATCATTTTGAATATAAACATCATAGATTTTGCATTAGACGTACAAATTTTAGATACAATGTTTACTCAGTAAATATGTTATCTTTTGTGCAAAATATATGACATTTATATTCAAAATATTCCTGGTCTTACAAGGAATCCAGCAATGTCAATTATATTATCCTAACTTTAGTCTGATTTATTATTTATTACTAAAAAGGTAAACAGTCTGGTATTCCCACACATTCATCTGGTAGGGAGGGTTGGTGGGGACCGGCGATCGACCACCCGGCACCAGGGTGTGAAGAATATTTTTTTTTTTTTATAAACTGAAAATATTTGTTTTAGCTCATAAAATTCATACAAATTACCCGGCCAGAATATAATTTACATTGCTGGAATTTTTACAATTTGATGATCATTTTGAATATAAACATCATATATTTTGCATTAGACATACAAATTTTAGATATAATGTTTACTCTCAGTAAATATGTTATCTTTTGTGCAAAATATATGACATTTATATTCAAAATATTCCTGGTTTTACAAGGAATCCAGCAATGTCAATTATATTATCCTAACTTTAATCTGAGGTATTATTTAATACTAAATGTTAAAATCTAGTTTTTTCACCCAACCTTTCTCTTGAGGGGAGGATTGGTGGGGGGTGGGGCGGAGGGTTGGGACGGACCGACCATCTGGCCCGGTTGGAAGAGGGGGGGAGGCAAGGTGGGGTACTTTGATTGACAGATAGTGCCGTGAAGAATATTTTTTTTTTTATTAACTGAAGATATTTGTTTTAGCTCATAAAATTCATACAAATTACCCGACCAGAATATAATTTACATTGCTGGAATTCTTACAATTTGATGATCATTTTGAATATAAACATCATAGATTTTGCATTAGATATACAAATTTTAGATATAATGTTTACTCTGAGTAAATATGTTATCTTTTGTGCAAAATATATGACATTTGTATTCAAGATATTCCTGGTCTTACAAGGAATCCAGCAATGTCAATTATATTATCCTAACTTTAGTTTGAGGTATTATTTATTACTATACCTGGTTTTCCCCCCAAAATTTCTCAGAGGGAAGAGCCAGGGAGTGTAGTGTGAGAAGAGGGGGAGGGAGTTGAGTCCATTATTTGAATGGACATTAACTTGGCGACTGTATTTCTCTATTTCTCTTAAGTATTAATTGTGTGCATATACCATCATAAAATTAAGATGTTATTTTTACTAGAGCATAGGTATTGTGTTGGAAAAAGTGGAGTTTGGGGGTCAGCTGGTCTCTATTTCATTTAATCCCATATGTTATGTTATTCACTTTACGCGTTTCTCACTTTACGCGGTACCCTGTGGGTTACATTAACCGCGTAAAGTGAGGGTTGACTGTACATACGAAGTACTATATACCAGTAATAGAATTAACAAAACATTAAGTATAAACTAAATACAGTACTGTACTGTGCAGTATACTGTACAAAAATAAAAAAAATAGAATACTGTACTGGATTTTAACTTACTTTGAGGTGTGTATGTCGTATTACCAGCAGCTTTGTGTACATATCAAACAGCTGATTGTAGAGGCAGTCGATGATGACATGCCATATTCTTTACAGAGTGCATTGGTTCTAATGCCTTCTTCGTGTTTCATAATAATTTCTTCACTGTATATTATCAATATGTTAACTAAATTTCAGAATGACCAGTAATTTTAATGTAAAAATGCAAAAATATTCGAGACCAACAAAATCGATGTTCATTCCACTGTAAACAAAGTTAAACTGAGAAGCGTTGTTGGGTGATTCAATCAGCTGATTGGCGTACAAAAACTGTTCCCTGTACTGTATATATCATCAATATGTTAATTAAATTTTAGAATGACCAATAATTTTAATATAAAAATTGCAGAAATATTCAAGAGACCAACTTTCTTGATATTTACTCCACTGGAAATCAATGTAAACATAGAACTGATTACTGTATTGGCGGACTGGCTGATCATCTGATGCGCACAACAAAACATGTTTGTTGTAAGGATTTCGTTAATCGAAGTTTTGTTCGTTAACCAAACTGAAAGTCCCTATGGGAGCTAATTCGTTAACCGAAATTTCGTTAATCGAACCATTCATTAAGCGAGGGTCCACTGTATATCCCATTGGTTCATTAGTGAATCATCAAAACAATAACAGCACTATGTTGTCATGTTTACCTAGCATCAGGCATTCTCAAAACAAAGTCCAGACAATGTCATTATACTTCTAAATTGACTCGTATCTCCATCCGTGCATTGTCTGCAGGAAAGGTGGTGACGTCATTGCAATTGGCGGCCCTGTTTCTAGAGAAATAAACTTATCTCGACTATTATAACAGGACTTAACTTTTATTACAAATTATATACTATACCGTATCACTCTACGAATGTGGCAGAGTGTATTTCTTGTGTTTACCCAGAATCGACAACTCGTCCATTCACATCAGCATTGTAAAAAAGTGTTTCCTGATACATTCACCACATTATAGGAGGACAGACTATATTGTTGTATGAAGCAATTGTGTGTACAGATGTTAATAGCATGCATGTACAGGTACAGTATAGGGAACCAAGATAAGCTATTGTCTTATCCCCTTTAAACCTTTAAGCTTTTGGCTGCTACATATTTTTTCCAGAAAGCTTGAATAATTGAATTAATTTTTGGTCTTAGGAAAATTCTGAAAAAAAAATGAGGTTGTAGCCTTGTCAAAAAGGAATTTTTGGTCTAAGTAAATTGATGTAGAGTACTGTACTATGATTCGGGATGCCGTGAAGGCAATTTTAGTGGTGGTCGCAAAATAAAACTTGACAAAGAAATATTGAAAAATTGCTTTACACACACCTCAATAATTCCTTATGCAGTAGGTAATATCTCCGTTAGCCAGAATCCCTCAAACCCGGAACTCTCCGATAGCCGGATTCTTGGAAAATCATTCCCAAAGCTAGGATTTTCCAGAAAATTCTGACTGGGAGCAATTTTCCAAGGGGCACCTTTTTTTTTTTTTTTTCTGAGATTTTGCCAGAGTTGATGTAATGTGCATTTTCT